CTCATCCGTTGAAGTTTGTCTCCTCATTGTCTGACGTCATGCCTGCACGTTGAAGGTGGCAAAAACATTGTATCTCTTGGTAAGTTAACTTATTGCCTTTTGCATTTCAAAGCATATTTTGATAGAATAAGTATCAATTCTATTCTGACACAATCATAACTGGAACTGTACGTGGATATGTATCTTCATGAACCAAACCTTGAGCCATCAAATCTGTATTTGACTTTTTATACTCTTTGCACTTATCTGAGTGTATCTGATAAACAAGCATGTAAGGAGGAATTAACTCTCGAACAAAATCTATAGCAGGCTGGACCACATTGAAGTATAACCACTCAAGAGAGGCATCTTCTTCTTCTCTGAAAGGACATGGATCATCCATCCCACCTAATCAGTTGTCGGTGGATATACTACGGAACTGAATTTAATATCCCAATGACTCATTGACTTTCAGAAGTAGCACAAAAGAGTCTCATTTCAGACATATTGGTACTCCCTCAGTAAGGGCAACTCCGGAAGTAGATATTTATATGAAAAGTCTACATTTCTTGTATTTAAGATTGCTCTGTGTTTGTAATCGGCTCCTCAAAATTGGGCCCTTTTGAGCATCCAATATCAATCATGTTAATGCTTCTCTCAACAATGTAAAACGATAGCTCGAGATACCACAATCTCATACTATGCATGTATTCCTATTACCTTAGACTCACTAGCATCTAGAATAGTTACTGTCAACTCAACTGAAGTTTCTCTTTTGGATTCAACTGTATTCATTGGTTTCTCTTTCTTGTCGGCTCGAAGTTCATAATCATCTGTGAAGATTTCATCTTCTCCGGGATCACTATTTATTTTTTAAATGGAGCCTTAATTCGTGAAAGAGATCGTTCTCTTGCTTGTGCAATTTGATTCGATATTCTCAAATTTGTAACACCTGAAACACTTCCTGACAGAAACAGATTTTGGCATGTTGGTCGATGCTCTTTGTTTTCTACTTCGAATTAGTGTCTCCTCGAGTGGGGTTAACATGGATGTTTCCCTGAGTGTACTCTGACTGTAAGATCTTGGGGTTAAACCCTGCCTGTAAGATGTGATGGGCATCCGATGATATGGTCTCCCGACTTTTAAAGCTATGGTTTGAACATCTGGTCTGTAGTAAGCGATAGAAACCGGCATTGCTTCTCTCATTTCATCTTGAACCAGTTAGTAATTTTATCTTTTCCTTCTCGCTGGCATAGGTATTTCAAATTTTACCATCAAAATAATGCACTCTTTTTTAGCTTGCTGGTGACTAATTTCACCATTCCGTTTGATGAGATGTCCCAACACTCAAAGACGTATTCTAAGGTCTAGTACCACTCGATGGACTCAACTGATGGGTCCATGTGGCCTCGAAACATGGCAAATCCACCTTTACTTCAAAATTCTGGCTTCCCAGATATTTCAAGTCATATCTTCGAGTTAGAGTTTCTTTATCTCTAGAATCTGCATAGAGGAAGAGATTTACTCCATTACTTTGATCTAATAAGTCGTCATGTGGCTATGGGTGACCCATCCAGATTGCTTTCTCTTGTAGGAGGTAAAACTTGGTTTTAGTTGATATATTTTCGATCCCTTCGACTCTTCTTTGTGGATTTCTCATAAAAGACAACTTGTCATTTCCCCTTGATCAAGCTTTCAACGATTATCTCATTGGCGACATAATTAGGTTCTGGGTGTGGTTCGGTGGAAGGAGGTGTGTAAGGGTGATGTAGGGTGAGAAAAAAAAATTCAAGTGGAGATAGGATTGGGTATTAGTGGATGTAGAAACCTTAGGATAAGACTACGGTTAGGCTAGCTCTGATATCAATTGATACCGGAGTTAACCTAAACCAAAATAGGAAAAACAAATATTATTATTGAATGCAAATAACTAACTACAATTGACACACTTAAAAGGAAAAATATACCAGCCCGACACCTGATATTTTGAAATTCCAACACACACAACACAAATTATCAAACTATAGTGGAATTTTGGGGTGGTGGTGGTGATCGGCGAGGGTTTGGAAGGTGGCGATAAGGTGGGAGCATGAAGCAAGTGGGCGGATATGATAACTGGAAAACATGTCCTTCCTATCTTGGGCGACAGTAGGGGTGCAAACGAGTCGAGTTGAGCTCAATCCACCCTCGGTTTGAGCTGTAGCTTGATTAATTTTATCGAGTTCGATCTCGAGCTCAAGCTTAAGTCAACTAGTTCGAGCCGGCTCAAGAGATCGCTTGTTTAGTATAAAAGGGAGAAAATGATACTACTTGAAGGTAGTGTTATAATAAAACATTAAATAAAATGAGTAATTATGAGAGAAATAATAAGAAATAATAAGAAATCATTAAATATAAAATATAAAATATATTTTTTTAACATTTTTAAGTACTTTGAAGAAACATTCTTCAAATTTAATATATTTAGAGTATATTTTATATTAATAATGAGCTAGTTCGCGAGCTAACAAGTTAAGTCGGGGCTAGCTTGAGCTTTAGCTTGTTAGCTCATCGAGCTCGGTTCATGAGCCACTTATCGAGTCGAGTTCAATCTGGCTCATGAGTCGGCTTGACTCACTTACACCCCTAGGCGACAACAAGGTGAAATTTTGATTCTCGGAGGCTGGAATAATAGATATGTGGCAGGGAGGTGGTGCAGGATGCTTGGGACAAGGGTTAGGTGGCAGGGACGTAGTCCGGGATGACTTTGACAGCAGCCGTTGGGAAGGGGAGAGGATCTATGTTGGCTGTAACAGCAATGGCAGCAAGCGGGAGCAAGGGAATTGAAGGTAATGTGCGTTGGAATGTAGAAACTGCAGGGAATTGAAGGTAATGTGCGCTGGAATGTAGAAACTGCAGGAAGGATAGTGTCGGCAACTGTCCTTGGCAGTTGTAGCAAGAAACAACGACAGGGAGTGGTGTGGGGAGGGTTCAGAAGGGGAATAGGAAAAATAAACACCGCCTTGGAAGAGGTATAAGTCAAAGCACCACCCAAACAAATGTCGGCGGTTGTCTCCTGTAATAGCTATTCCCGCAGTATTGTAGCAGTTATAATTCTGTGGTAATTTTGTGCAGTAAGCTCCTGCGTCGGTGGTTTTTTGTGATTCTTTGTACATCTCATTCTAGGTTTGTAGTGGTGAAACCTAGAACCTAGGGCATCATGCATCACTAAGATATGACGATAATGGCATATTGATGTTGATGTAGGCATCACAATTATGAAATACTCCAAATATATTTTTTAGTTATCTTATCTTTTCTCCTATAGTCCCCTATGCAATTCCTTAGTTTATATCGCCAGTGACTTCTCAAAAGAACTGTCAATCCATAATACATGCATGTTTTATAGAACTTTCTTCTTCTCCAAAAATGGAACCAGTGAAATTACAAATAGTCTCTTAAGAATCGGCCTGGATTACCTAGACTTGTGTATTTGCTTACAGGCCTGAATTGATATTAATTTTGGCCTAATAAAAATTTATTTGGGCCTTCTTCAGTGACCTGGCTTGTCAACTTTTTTAAATTGAACTCGATTATTGCTTCCATTTTTATTTTACAAAGAATTCTCTGTTGTGTTACAAGGACCAATGATATTTTTTTCGAAGCAGAAACCTTGGAGGATTGGCAATGTCAAATAGGCAAATATCTAAATAAAACCTTGAACAAGTACTGTTATGTCACTAGAAATTATATGATCAAGCATGAATCTCGATGCATTTTTACAATAAACTCACGATCATTTAAGCTTTGATTTATTAAATTTATAATTAAACTGATCATCTCGGCAAGACAAACCTACGACTCTAAAATTGATTCAATCTGGGTTCAATCAACCCCAATTCAAGTCGTTGAAGCATAATTAAAAGCTTTGGATTATCAATTGAATTGAAAGAGCCTAAGATCATCAATTTTGAGGTCATTAAGGCAATCAAATCCTTAGAAAATCACCTATGATCAAGGGGGTCAACATGGACAATCAGATCAGGTGTTTAAGGAAGTTATGCACCAAAAGACCGAAATGCCTTTCCCAAAAAACTATCAATAGCATTTGAAGGTACATTACTGCAACATAATAGTTTTTGCTAATGAATTAAAAGAAAATATTGTGTGCACTTATTTCGTCAATTTCCCACCAATATAAGGTTAGGGAAGGGGTTAATGTACGCAATTTTACCACTGCATTGCAAAGAGGTTCCTCAACTCCAGCTTATGAACTCTATGTTACAACAGAGGCAACCAAACACAACTCCAAGCTCAGCTTAACCCTAATTTGGTTGAAATTTAATCCTAATTTGACTTTAAGTTAGCAGTAATTTTCTTTCTCCACTAACCTATATTCGTTGAAACCATTCCATAGATTTCAACCTAACGAAGTTCCTCTAAATTCCTTTTTTTCCCATGCCAAAAACCTGGGTTTTTATATGGCCAGTAACAATTTTAGTAGCAAGTCTGTAAAACATTATATTGTTGGCCATTTCCTCATTTTCTTCATCTACTTCTTTCTGACGCTTTTGGAGGAACAGAGGCAGAGGAAAAACAACTTATTTTCACCTGAAACATAATTTCAGTTCTTTATTTTTTCTGCACACTTCTTATTATTTACTGGTGCTCAGAGTGACTGCTTTAACCATTATTTGGATGACTAACGGTCAGTTATTTCATAATCTAAGGGCCCATTTGGCATCACTTTTGTTTTTTATTTTTACCTTTGTTTTTGAAAACAGGTTTGGATAGTATAATTTATATATATATATATATTTTTTTTATTTTTAGAAACAAATCACTGTGTTTTTAAAAACACTCAAAAATCCTAAAAATATTTTGATTGTTTTAAAAACACATGCCATAACCAAATATTTTTTAATCCAAATATAAAGATAAACAAAATAAAATAAAAACAAAAAATAGGAAACAAAAACCAAGAGTGATCCCAAATAGCCCCTAAGATGTTAACATTTTGTTAATGTTTCACATCCTTGCAGCTGCCAAGTTGGGCTACAAGAGCTTCCAAAGGATTCTCCGTTGGGCAGATTAAGAGGAAGTGACAACATGGTATAATGTTTTTTTTTTTTGCTTTACCGAGTTTTAAATCTTTTATTATTAATCATGGTGAACCAAATTATATTTGTTTGTAATTTATAAGACATCAGTTACATCTTTAGATGACCCTGATCGAACATCATATAGATGCCATTTTTTTATTTGAAAAAAAAACTTCATTTACAGAAATCTTTTTAAAGATGCAAAACAAACAACCTTTTTAAATTTACATGACATTAAATTGCAAGAGAAAATGAGTCAAAATAGTTCCCGACTTTTTGGAAGGGGTCATATTAGTCAATTCTATACAAGTGTCAATTTAGTCCGCTTAGTCTCCATGGTGGACTATTACAAACCTAATTTAAAGAATCTGAGGACTAATGTGACACTTTTATAAACTTTGGGACTAAAATGACACCATTAACATTCGGAGGGCTATTTTGACACTTTGCTCTAAATTGCATTTTTTGATAACCAAACAACCCCTTAGACCAAAAGAGATGGACCACAAATTTTAGATGGTCATCTCTTTTTTTAGGTATTTGAGATCAGCATCCCCATCCAATCATCCTTACAGTATATTTTACTTTTTGAATTATCCTACATTCATTCAAACAATTCCATTTAAGTGTTTGATTCGAGTAGCTTCTTCCTTTGAGATTGCTGATACGAATCAAGATGATTATTCACATAAATTAGGACAAAAAAAATATTTTATTTCAGTAACCAAACAATACTACTCAAATGCATAAAAGATAAACACTTACAATTCGAGACACAATCAATCTCTTCCAAAACCCTAATCATAAGACTCAAGAAAACAATCTCATAGCATACCCTAATCCTAATCATAATGGCCCTATTTATACCCAAAATAATAACTAATGAAAGACTAAATTGTCTTACGCGCCGATGTAACAACACTACCCTCCCAAAAAGACACCTTGCTCTCAAGTTTGGAATAAAAAGAACTGCTAATTGATCAAGTTGTTTGGCTCCCATGTGGCATTCTCATCTGACAACTCTTTCCATTTAATCCAAAATTCGTAGTGACCCTCGTGAGTTTGAAATGCAGCCTTGTGCACATCCTTCGACCTCATCCAAACATGTTGGTACCCTGACTTCAAGTCAATCTTGGAGAATACTGCAACCCAAAAACAACTCCTCCAGTAGCTCATCGATCGTCGTAATCTCTACGAACTTCATATCACGTTCATCTTCCATGCTATGCAACTCGGTTAAGAATTCCAGTCATACATCTTGAATGCCCTCACATTGGTCTTGAGCTTTACCAAAGTCTAGCACAAATTGGGGTCACCACAAATCACTCTTATCTTGTCTCCCTCCTAAATACTTTGGAGTGTTAAAATCAATTCCTTAAACTTTCCTTGTTGATCTCCACATATCCCTTTCACATCATTGCTCCACTTGTCTTGAAAGGTTGCAACAACAAAAGCACTAGTGCAGTTGGATGCAACACTTCACCGGGTCCCACCCACCATGTTCCCTATTCCTGACTGAATTCTTTCGAATCGATCTTTTCCAGCTATGAATCGCATGTTATCTCGTTTTGCCTGTTGTCTCTTGTTCCAAACTTTCATTTTGCCTGTTGTCGCTTGTTCCAAACTTCCTGACATCACACATTTCCCTCCAAACGTTGCTGCTCGAATCCCCTCCCAACTCCTTTGTTAAATCCGACATGCTTCCCTTTGTTCCAAACATATGGATGTCACATATTACTTCCAAGTATGGTTTTAAAAATCAGGCCAGACCAACTGGTTCAATCGTGATCCGGTCATTCGACCGGTTCTGTCCAAACTCAAAATCATTTATGCATAGAACCAGGATTGAACCGATCAAAATCAGGGTTGAATCGGAGAATCAGTGAACTGGTCCGGTTTTTAAAAGAATCGATCGGTTCAAATATTATTCAATTTTAGCCTTTTAATTTTGATCAGATGATCATAAATAAGATATTTAAATTATAAAAAGGGAAAAATATAATGTCTTAAAATTTTTATTTATAATATTTTTCAAAATATTTAAAAGTATTTTCTTATTTTAAAATACTATTTGTTTAATGAATAAAAATAATATTAATATATCATTATTCTATTATTTTATTTATATTACAAAATTTAAAAAATTTATTTCGTCATGCGGTTCAACCTTTGTTTCAAACCCATTTGAACCATTGAATCTCGAACCTTTATTTCTTCTAATTCCATGTTCGGTCATGTTTTCACAACTTTGCTTCCTTGTGTTTCCTCTCGAGTCTACCCCCATATCTTGCGCTCAATCCTGCAGCTCCTAATACACCTAAAGCAACAATGCTGCCCTGATGTCAAGCAAATCTTTCAGATTTTTGCTGCTCGCATCCTCTCCAGATGTCATTGTTTGATCTCATGGCAGGCGACGGTGGGTTTGCGTGAAGCTCAACGATCTTCATCATTTTTTTCATGACCGTGAATCTCCTCTCAATCTACCTTCCATGTACGAGAACTGCCCCTCCATAGATTTTGCTCACTTTTTCATTCAAAATTTTCTTCAAAACATTTAGTCTTTTGTCCGTCGTTACTTCCAAGACTTTTTTTATCACAGAAATAGAAGTTGGCTTCCCAGCTAGCTTGAATCACAACTATATCGCGATATTAGGTCATTATGATCCGCGATCCAGTCATTTTATAGATCAAATTCGCGCGATTCGGTCGCTAGGGCACGCTTGATCCTGATGTCAACCTCCTAGATCGAATGATTCACACATTTCACGTCGATGGTTTCCAAGCTAGCTCGATTCACGAATCTATCACGAGGTTTGATCACAAAGGCTGAAGATCCCAATTTTGCTTCCCATATAGCTCGTTCGCAACTATATCGAGCATATAGGTACACTGTGATACCATCGTTTGTTTCTCTGCTGAGTGAATTCGTGTCTGCTTTAAGTGTTTCTTCAGGAAGGCGCGACTTAAGCCTCGTGTAAGCAGCGATCCCTACCCCTGTAAGCAGCGATCCCATCAGTTCCCGGTCGCGAATGTTTCTGATGATGCCCTGTATCTCGCGATCCTATACGCCTTTTGCTTCACGATCCTTCTGCTCTGTGATCCTTTCACATAGATCCTAACAATTTTACATTGGAGATCCTTTACATAATCATAGGTTTTGATACCAATTTGATACAAACCAAGATAATTTTCTACAGAAATTAGGGCAAACAAAATATATTATTACAAGAAACCAAACAACAAAACTCGAATGCATAAAAGATAAACACCTATAATTCGGAGGAAGACGATCTCTCCCAAAACCCTAATCCTAAGACTCAAGGCAATAATCTCATAACATACCCTAACCCTAAGCATAATAAGCTCTATTTATACCCCACAATAATAACTAATAAAGTACTAAAATGCCTGTAGGCGCCGGCGTAACAATTGCCCACTCATTGTCCTTCCTAATCCTCGATTTTTTTTATTTTCCCGCATTGTAGCCACATACATTCCCTCATCAAAATTTTCTTGCTGATAGAGCAATTTAAAAAAAATAAATTTAAAATTGATGTCGAAGCAGCTGGTAGTTGATAATTTGTGAATTTCTGTTGTCTGGGGATGTATGTGAACAATATGATCTATGAAAACTCTAGTCATTGAATCTAGCAAATTTTTTTTTATTACCTTACTCATTTCTGCCATTGCAGGTGGAAATATACAGCAGGTGTTACAAGAACTCTCCTCTGGTGATTCAGGGAGCAGGAGCAGGAAATGATACAACAGCTGCAGGAGTCCTAGCTGATATTGTGGATCTACAGGATCTGTTCAAGTAAAAGTTCCTTCTTTTCATGGAAGGTAACTATTGCTGCTAAAATCTGAGCTGGTGAATTAAGCACACCTTACCTGGAAGGAGAAATGCGCTAGGGGAGGGGGGTACCACACAATTCTTATGTATTTACATATGTATTGCCCAAAATTTGATATTTACACTTATAACACAGTATTTTCATAAATCTGTGAATGAAAATGTGTATTATGAATGAAATGTATATTTTACTTTTTAAAAGATTTTGTACTATTGATATGATGTTAAAGTTTCGAGTGTTATGTATGTAAATGTTTAGGTGTTAGATAAGTAAATACATAAGATTGTGTGGTACGTATGTAATTGCCCCATTTTTATTTTTATTTTTTTTTAACTAAGGAGAATAACCTTTTTACTTGTTTTATATACGATTTTAGCTGGTTCAATCATTAAGAAAGTATAATCAATGGCATGGTCTATGAACTCAGTTCTGCATCCTTTCAAGGGAACATTGGCTTATCATAATTTATGGCATTTTTACATAGTACTTCATACTATTTGCATTTACTCAAGAAGGAAATATTGACCAACTCAATCTTCTTTTGTTTTTTACAGGTCTTATTTTCTATATATATTTTTTCTAGCGATGTAAAGGTTGGGGATTTGATTCCATTCATTCTTCATTAAACATAGAAGATGTGTTTGGAGTGGTGGTCTCTTTGCCCTGAAAGATTGTTGGAGATTCCATTCAGCCTCATCCATCATTTCAGGTCTTTTCCCCAATAACGGAAGATGAAGTTTTATTCTCATAAATATAATCCTCAGATGTGTTTGGAGTGGTGGTCTCTTTGCCCTGAAAGATTGTTGGAGATTCTCCTCCCTATGCTGTAAAGGAGGGAATGCAGGATCCAATGTACCAAAGGCTAGTTGCGCATAGCTCATCTTGGAGCACCCAAATCTCCCAAAAGAGCTAGCTGGTTAATTTCATTTATAAAGAAGTGCTTTTATTTTATTTCAGTTTTTTTTCTCTCATATATGTGCTAGATTTTGAACTTCAAAGTTTATGATTGGAGATGAAGCATTCAGTCATAAGGCCAACTGAGTTGAATTGATGAAATTCTTACATAGGTTTTTTGTTCTCTCTTTTTCAAGAAAAGCAAGGGCAAGGTTAAATTTAACCACTCAATTCTTATCTATTTACATATGTAATGCACACATGACATCAAAAATAATAAATTTTGATTGTCTAACAAAAGCTTTCATTCGATGCAAGCCTGATTTGAATTACTTCGCTTCGATAACTTTTTTTACCAAAATAGTTTTTAATTGAATTAGAATTGAGCTCAAGTTGATTATGGCCAAACGTATGCCCCATGTTTGGTTCAATTTTGGAATGGATCATGGTCAATTTGAAAACTCGACTACTAAATTTTGATATTTATAATTCTTAAGATGAGTAAACAAATATAAAAAGGATTTCATATCGACTTGTCACGTTTCGACCCGATGCATGTTGCTAACTGCATGTAAGTAGCACATGTGATACTACTCCGGATCTCCTCACACGGTGATCACTTCATCATTTGTTGGAAATTTTATTGATACGTGATCGGTCGATACGACCACTTGGAAGGCATAAGAAGAGGTCGACCAAAGATATCATTGTAGGTTACTGGTGAGTCCACTATTTGTTAAGATCTGAAACTATTTATCACCTTCCATCTAACTGACTGGTAGGGAGAGACTTCCAAACACTTCCTTTCCTTTGAAAAACCATAAATTGACCCAGCAGATGGAAAAAGATGTGCAGGGCCCAAACTTGTCTTATCAAAGACTGACTTGAAGATGATGTTTACAGATCTCTAGTATTATGTGTATACTTCCTATTTGGAAGTCGACAATAAGAGTGATAACGACTATAGTGTCATTGTGGGATTTTCTTTGGTAAGTAAGTCTTCGTCATTGAAGAAAGTTGGGAGTTTTTGTGACGTGTATCATGGGGTTCAGGTTGTCAAGAAAACTTTCAAGTGGAGTTTTTTTAAGCTGGCTTGCTGGGCAGCTTCGTCGTCTCCTCCAAATATGGTGGGCACGACACTCGTGATGTGGATCGATTGAACCAGAGCATGTTTGTTGAGGTTTATTTTGGCAGGCACATTTCCCCGCCACTAAGTCATCACCTCAGATGCTACAAACTTTTGAAGCTTCCTAGCTTTTGATTAACTCAATCAAATTTTGGAGGTGTCCCATTCCTCTTTGTCATGTTAGTGACCCCTATGATATGCATATTATTTCTTAAGGTCTCAAGTATGTCTTCCCATTTTCATTAAAGTTGCCTTTTTGAAGAATTATTTATTCCAGATTGCTTCTACTACTTCGGCCAAAGAGACTCTTAGTGGCATGGGTCGAGGAAGTTTATGGGTTGGTGGTGGTGCCCTCCTTTCATTGCACGGATTGGCTCGTTACACAGGATACAATCAGTCTTTGTAATACACCTCTTTATCTATCATTTGGTCTTCTAGGGATGATAGAAACTCCTTGAAATGAGCCCTAGTGGGTGGACCTGGATTTTTCCTTAGTCTTTAGCCCTCTTCGTGAGCACTTCTCTTTGATGGATATTGACCATGTAACCATTTTTTGGCGGTAAGAGGATAATTGTATTCTTCGGCTAATATATGATTTTTGGTAAGTTATAATAGCTGGCTAACATCTTGGGTTGCTACAGACCTAAGGTATAGCAAAATGAGTCTTCCCTGAGTCCTTGTGTTAGCGCAGCATGTTTGACCATAGGTTTAAGGTCACAAACTTCCAACATTTCTTACAAGAAGCTAGTTTTAAATGCACATAAGGTTTCAACTTTCCCTTGACATGGTTGTATGAGAACTTGTGAATTTCTCTAAGGCTTCTGCAAGCTGACAAGTTGAGTTACGAACATTCTTTTGAAATCTGCATATAAGGTAATAACTCCCGGTGGTATACCATTGAGCCAACGGAGGGCTAGCTCTCCAAGTATATTGAAAAGCATACGACAGATAAGTGCATCACTAATTCTCGATGAACATAAAATCGGCTTGAAAGAGGTGATGTGATCGGTCAAATATGACTGTCCTTATAGAAGTCTAAGGCGAGGACCTTGAAACACTCTACGGACTCGACTTCATAGATTTGGCAGAAAAAAGTATTTTCTCGCAAAATGTGTTATGGTGCTTCTACACAGTCCTATGATGGCGAGTTGTTCATTTGCTTATTTGGTCAATTTTCTCAATTCTATCAATTGAATAATTGTTGTGTTGACTAAGAGTTCTTTATGCTTTTTAGAGTTGATTCTTCGACATACGTTTCGACAGGGCTGTTAGAGTTGGTTCATAGTATATTGATCATACAACCATATTATATAGTTTCATTGTCAAACAAAAGCTTTCATTGGGTGTAAGCCTGATTTGGATTGATTCACTTCTATATCTTTACTTATCTTAATAGTTTTAATATTGGATTAGAATAGAGCTAAAGTTGATTATGATCAAACTTATGTCGCCCGTTTGGTTGAATTTTTGGTGTTTGGTTCAATTTTTGGAATAAATTATGAGCACTTCAAAAACCCGATTGCTAAATTTTGATATTTATGATTATTAAGATGAGTAAATAGACATGATAGGATAAGTATTCAGTATTGAAATAGAAAGTTGAAGATAAAGATAAAAAATACTTGATGGTTCAAATTTCAGCCAAAAAGCTAACTCTTTTTTTATAATTAAATGATTTCAAATTATATTGATGCATTTTACCCATTATAAACTAGATATCATCATATTCTTGTATTTTTTAGTCATTTAAAAGCTTCTATTCTAATGACAATTACCAAGTAATTTCAATTGCTTTAATTAAAAAAAAAATGATATGATACTCTAAGAATCCTTATAAGTCATATTAAATTCGATCAGTAATCAATTATTCATAAAAACTAATGAGATTAACACACCAGATCAATGCCACCTTTTAAATTAACATCAACAAAAAAGGTTCGACTAGAGAACCTAGTTCTGATCGACGCGCCAGAATTATTGCTACGCTGTAAATGAGTTGAGTCAAACTTGAGCCAACCTCAATTTGAGCCTAATTAATTAATGAAGTCCAAGCATGGGTGCACCAAAATTGTGTTCAAGTTGTCAAGAATAAAGTCCCTGCGCCTAAAATTTTGGCTACAAAACTTGTTATGCTGGAAACTTTATAACGCCTAAAACACAATCAAGCTAGTTTTGCTGGCGAGTGAATATACATGATGACTAGCATCTATATAAATTTCTCCATAATGGCTAATAACTGAAAATCTTCAAGGCTCGGCATCCAATATTTTGTGTAAAGTATAGACTCATCTGCATCAGAACTGCAACTGCATTAGGGATAAAAATTAGGAAGATTTATATGCATAACACACTATTCTTATGTATTTGCACCTAGACTTCAATTTTTACATGTATGCCACATTACCTAATGCATGAAAAGGCATATTTCACTTTTTAAAAGTTACAATAGGGATATTTTTATATAATATAAAAGATTTGGATGGTATAAACGTAAAAAATCAAATTTTATGTATTAGATATGTAAATGCATAAGAATGGGGTGGTATGTATGTAAATGCCCCTAAAAATTATGTTGGAAATTGGAATAAGCAGAAAAAGTCTATAAATAAAAAAAAAAAAAAACAGTTTAAACGGAAACTTACCCCATCACCCAACGGTCACTCTTAAGCATGCTTCATCTATGCATCATCCAAATTCAGTCCACTGGAAAGAAAATTATTTGTTGATGAGTAAAATAAAGGAGCATTTACATACCTAGCACACAATTCATACGTAGTTACATCGCAACTAAACTTTCATATTTACATATACAACACTCAAATCTTTAATATCATATCAAAAAAATAGTATTATTACCACATTTTTAAAATGAAATACACACTTTCATACATTTATGACCACGTTTTTAAAATGAAATACACACTTTCATGCATTTATTTAAAGATGTATGCAAATATGAAAGTTTAGGTTTGCGATATGTAAATACATAAGAATTGTGTGTTCTGAATGTAAATTTCCGGACGTGTGAAAAAATAAGTAGAAATGAAATGTTCCATACAGATCAAAAGCTTCTCTTTTAAGCTCGTCGATATGATTTTGAAAGTTGGCGCATGCGGCCTGGATATCTATATTCTTGTGACATAGTTCTCTCCATTGTGCATTCAAGGCATCAAGTTCCACAGCTGTGTTTTGCTGCAACATTAGATTCAAGTAATAAGGGTTTTGGAAAGACTTCGATTTCAGGAAATTAGATCCTAACTGCAGGTTTTGAATTTGATGGCTCCAAAACTTTTTATACCTGATGATACTTTCTTTCCTGATTCGCAGCTTCAATCTTTTCATTGTACTCTAACGCTAAAGCTTGCATTCTGATATTTTAAACAAGGAAACATTAAAGATAAATCTTAGGATTAAACTGATCGTCAAAAGAACAACGGTCATATTGTTGCTGATTTCTCACTCTTATATATATATATATATATATATATATATATATCATCAGCCAAATTATTTACTAAAGAGCCACAAAAAAACAAAGAAGAGATTATACCTGGACAAAAAATTCTCCATACCCTTGTTGTGTTGTTTCCAGAGATCAGTACCGTGCTTTAACATAAGATCTAGGTTTTCAATTCTAGCATTCCAACAAGAATGGTTAGAATAATAGAGCATGAGAAATATGCATAACTAATCTATTTACATGATTGCTTTTCACCATTTAGGATTTCACTAGTGCAACAGGAGACTAGCAAACTGCTTAGTCATCAAAAGGCATTATATTCTTAGGCAAGGATAAAACAAAACAAATTGTGACGCAAATGTGTTAATAGAAAGCACAACGATTCTAATTTAATATGCCCTAGTTTAGCAATAGGAATAAGACAACAAAAAAATGGGGCATTTACTAACTTACCAAATAGTTCCTATGTATTTACATAACTAACAACTAAACTTTACTTTTTACATTTATAACATCTAAATATTTCATATCAAAGAAAAAATACCACAATTTTGACTTTTTAAAAGTGAAGTACACCTTTCCATGCGTAGGTAAGTTGGCAGATATGTAAAAATTAAAGTCTAGGTGTTAGATATGTAAATACATAGGAATTGAGTGGTATGTATATGTAAATATTCCAAAAAAAATCAAAAGATATCATGGCCTTGCTCTAGATAAGATCATTTGCTTAACATCCATAGAAAACATAGCAGCAATCTAATAAAATTATCAATAATTGAAGAATGTATTGTTATGGACTCTTCCAATAGGTTAGCAAAAGGAATGCAAGAAGTTAGATTTTGATGTCATTAAGAAAATTATCATAGATACAAAATTGCCTGACATGTATCCCTAAGCGCCTCAATATGTTCATTTCTTAGCGAGAAAATTAATTTCATATAGCATTGTATCTCAACTTTCATGGATTAAGTTGTGGAAAAGTGAAAAAAACATTGGTATACAGCAAAATCATATTTCTGTTGAGAAACTAAGAAGTATTAATTTCAACCACTCTTTTAATACATACTTCTTTCAATAAACTTTTTTCACCCTAAATCTGGATCCATCAGTAAGTCTCCTTATATATGATGTCTTTTATACAATCTTCTTGATTAAACGAGCAATCCATTCCGTATAGGTTTCCAAGAATTTTGAAGAGCATAACATGATTTAAAAGGGATTCACGAAAGTTCCAACAGCCATGTGTGTGTGTGTGTGTGTGTGTGTGTGTGTGTGTGTGTGTGTGTGTGTGTGTGTGTGTGTGTGTGTGTGTGTGTGTGTGTGTGAGAGAGAGAGAGAGAGAGAGAGAGAGGATGGTTGGCTAAGCTTGGTAGGATGATTGAGTGTTGTGATATATATATAAACTAGAAGAACAATCTTTGACGAAGCAAAAAATAGAACGAGAAAATTCACACCAGAAAACAGTAACACAGCGGAACACACAAATTTACATGGTTCGGCAAATTGTCTACATCACGGAGTTGCGGAGGATTTTACTACTTGAGGAATTTATACCAGTCAACCGTCTCGACTTACAAGAGGGATCTCTAACTTCCTTGCTCTCTCTGCCTCGAGATACACCGAAGAAGATAAACTTACAAGAGAAATAAACTCAATTTCTCTTCTACCACAAACCACCAAGAAGAAGCCAAGAGAGAACAACCTTCCTCTTCTTTCTTCTTTCTTCTTTCTTCTGCCGCAAGGAACTACTGTTTGCACTTCTCTCCGAAGAAAAACACAAAAAGATCGTGCCAAATGAGAGCCGTGCGATACCTTTTGGAGTTCATCCGCCTGCTGCCCTTTTAACTATTCGCGCCATGAATGAGGCATGGGACATCGCTTTGCGAAACGACAGGGAGAAAGGCGAGAGACGCGTGCAGGTTGGCGCCGATTCGCAAAACGGGAAAGGAGCGAGAGCGGGAGCAGGGGTCGTGAACCGGGCTCCATCCAACAGATGAGGTGGCAAGTCAATGGTGATGTGGTGGTCAATGGGTGATCAAAAGGGATCAAAATAGTAAATGCGCTAAAGCTAAGCAAGAGAATGGCTTAACTAACTCAATGCTCATGTTAGCACATACTATAACTCAATACAACACATGACTCACCACATGAGGCCTAGAATATAGAGATAAAACATCAGCACAAAGGCCCAAAATAATGAAGAGTTAATATCTTTGAAATTATAATACTTTGAATAGAAATTAGAAAAGAATTGATTGTTTTAACAAGGAGAAGAGTAAATATTCAAAATTATTAAATGATCTTAACAAAATATAAAATTCCTCGAAGAAAAGAAGAGATAATGATGTATGAAAAAAAAAGGCTCGAAGTTAAAAAACTCAATATGCATATAAGGATAAGCTTCATGTTAAGTTTAAAAATAAAAATTGGTATTATTTCTCTTTTATAAATTAAAAAGAATTAAAAACTTCCTTGATTGAAATTTAAAGTATTGTATTTTCAATGAAAAATGTTGAATCAATATCATTTGGCCGATAACAATATATGAATTCATTTATATACATGTTAATTAAAGTTATTTTAGTCAAACACATAATGTGATTTAAGAATAATTGTATTAAAATAAATATTAAAAGAAGTAATATTAGAATAATATTAGTTATTAAAAATTCAAATAATATGTGTGCACTTTTATTGAAAAAATTTATTATATTATTAAAGATTAATGAAATCATGAGAAAAGAGATATCATGAAATTTTAAAAGTTTAAATTTCGATATTAAATTACTGAAGGGCAAACAATATGTATGTTTGGGGACAATTTAAAGCGTGTGAAATGTGAAGATGTGATATACAACCCATTAGGCGTAGCTTTTTCGCAGCGGTGCAACGCGAAAATGCAATAAAAGGGCGCTTGGATGTGCAGTGAGGTAGCATATTTGAAAAATCTATGATTAAATGCGGCTGCATTACTTTGATTTTTTTTTTACACGGCTGCCCTTACGATCTCGTGTGCATTCATTTCTCTCTCACAACTCTTGCCCTGATTCCTCTCTCTTGCAATCCCGTGGTGCCTCATTTCTCTCTCGCGACTCCTGCCCTTATCCCTCTCTCTCACGATTGGAAGGTGTAACATGCTTCATTTTTCTCTCCCTTCTCTGGAATTGTTGCGGTAAATTTCTCTCTCCCTCTCCTCTCTCCTCTCTCCTCTCTCCTCTCTCCTCTCTCTCTGTTCTTTGGCTCTTTTGAATCACTGTCTCCGCCCTCTGTGCGGTGCGGTGGTTCCTCTTCGTGCTGTGGTTTTTGAGGTTTGGTTCTACCTATGTTTCGGTATTCCTTACCTCACTATGTTGTGGTTTTTTATTTTTGAAATGCGTATGTGCAGTGTCTTTCATTTAATGTTGGATTTTGGGATTTGGTTTTCTCTGCTCTGTTTGGAATTTCATGTGCAATGACTTTGGAATATGGGTCTGGATTTTGAATTTTGGTTTTCTCTGTCTTTTCTTGTGCGGTTTGCGAGCTTTGCTTTGAACAGACCCTATGCCTTGCGCTTTCATTCTTCATTCTGGGATATTTACATACCTAACATCCACAACAATTGCGATTTTGCTCTTCCTTTGCTCAATTCTATTGTCCAAAAATAACATTAAAATATAGAGGCAGAATGGTCATTTGTCCAAAAACAGCTACAGCACGACTGTTTTCAAAATGCAAAAAATAAACAGACAACCAGCTTATCCACAGAAGCTCCTGCGCAGCAGCTTCCTGCCACAACTACTGCGCAGCAGCTGCCCCAAACAAACCCAGAGTGTTTTTCAAATATTTTTTGTGTTAATTTTATGTTTTTTTTGGTATATTTTGTGTATATGTGCAATATACATGAAAAGAACTTAGCACTTCATGAAATATGTAGTTAATTGAAGATTTGCGCCCCACCATCAGATTTGAGCACCTCAGTACCATATACAGAGCGTCTTAGTGCCTGAAGCAGACATTTTTTGGCCAAAAACTCAAGAGCACGACACTTAGAGGCCAGAAGCAAATGCACCAATGCCTAGAAAGCAATGCCCATAAAAGAAGGGCTACATCACCCTATGCCAAAAGTGAACATTTGGGCAGTGCTCGAGTCCACTGCCATTGTGCCCGATGATAGTACCCCGACACAAAATGATCAACGACTCAACATAGGGTGATTTTGCAATTCAATGACAGTTCAACCAAACTCTAGGGATTAAAACTCACAAATCGAAGATGGAAACGTCGAGGTGGAAGTGTCTATTGTAAGTAAAGAAAATAGTGGAGAGAGTAGGGAAGTGTTAAGTGTGAAAGAGATTTTCATTTAACTTTAGTCTTTAACTTTGAAATTATGATTTATAAACTTTTAAAATCTCAAAAGCCCAAAACATTTTAGACTAAACTTAGGATTACTAAACAAGTAATTAAACTTCTTTGAGAAATAGCATGTTCCTTGTGGAATCGATAACTCGAAACTCATAACTTGTGTACTACTTGATTGATATGTATATTTCCATGATAGCATGTGTGTCACTGCAAAACAAAGCAAGTTTTTTGTGTCGTTGTCGAGTACAAAAACTTAACCCATGTTGTGGTTGCACACATGTTAATCACGCAAATATGCATGTTCATCGACTAGTATATAAATCTTGAGTTCAATTATCAACTTATCTAGTTAGTTTATATCCAATTAAATCAATTTCAAAAGTGGGATTGAAAATCTTGAGTTTACAACAAAGTAACATGTTTTTATTTTCCTTAACTTTTAAATAAAAACCTTCGTTGAGCTATTTTGTGCATGTTTGCTTTAGGAACTTTAAAAAAAAATCTCATGTTTGTTGGATTTTGCAAGTAGCGCAACAACGGTACATATAGGTGCCAAAGTGCCTAAATCAAAGTACCACTTCTTAACGTCTTTTGTGTCTGTTTAAAATCCTAGGAGTGTCACAACGCTAAGACCGTTTCATGAGTGGTCAACCTAACATTTCAGGTTCGGAGTTATGAGTAATTATTAAGAGTAAATGTGTTTGGTTTCCCTTAACTGACCCTTTGACTGCCCAATGCCGCAGCGCCCAAAGCTAACGTAGTAGTGCTTATACTACTTTATGTCTAAAGAATCCCAACACTTGAGTACAGCGCCACACTTATTTTATTTGTGG